GCACTGCCACTCAACCAGTCTTGAGTAGTTTATCTGGGAAGATGTCTTGGAACGCCTCTTTCCTATAATATTCTAAAATATTTAATTCTTGCATACTATACACACACACACACACACATCTGTTTTATTATTTAAAGTAGAAAGGAGGGGTTTTATTTATTCACATTACCTTTTTCATTACCCTACCATATTACATTTATATAGCTGGTGAAAACATATTTGTTAAGGGGTTGGTATGAGTAGTGAGAGGAAGGAAAAAGGTAACTATTACATGTCCTTCAAAGATTACTAGTGCATCTAGATTTGTGGAGAAAGTGAAAAATGACACTTTTCTTACTTTCAACGCTGGAAGTAACAACTATGTTTGTATTCCATGTGGTGCTCGGAAATATTGTTGAAATGACTACAATGAACAAATTTGGATAGTTCGGCACGTTCATCTATTTGAATCTGTATTCCCATTTTATTTCGTTTAAGAGACAAGAAAAATTAAGTGAGAACAAATATGATATAAATATATTGAATAATAAAAATTTAAATCAATATATATGTAAGTATATCTCATTCACAATTTGTATTTATTTATTTATTTTTTCTTTGAGAAGCTTTGAATTATCATTGACAATATATATGTACGTATATCTCATTCACGCTTTTTATTTTTTTTTTCTTTGAGATAATTTGAATTATAATTGAAGTGACTAAACTGGATAAATGAGTTTTACCATGGTTAAAAAAATATACAAGATTGTTTCATCTTGCTTAATATTTACTCGTTTAAATCCCTACAGATAAACTTCCAACTAGATATTACTTCAAATTTTTATTTTATTATTATTATTATCATCATTATTTTCTAATTTTATTTTTGTTATTATATTTTTTTGAGTGTATTAAAAATCACCATCATATTAAATTATGATTATCCTAAAATTTTTAGTTAATGATTATAAAATAATTAAATACGATAGACTAGAAGCATCCCACTAATCAATGATAATTATAAAATAAACAAATAATTAAGTATAAGAATGATAAATGTTCTCTTCCTTTTACTTAGTATTTGGCGAATAATAAAAAAATTGATGCAGCCTTACTCAGTTTTATTGCTCACTATTATCGTATAAAGTTCTCTGCTGTTCTTGAAATTTCTCTTTTGCGTTTTTTTGCTTAATTGAAGGGAGGGACCAAGTCCATTTTACGCCAATTGCTCATGGTTGCTTTTGGTTAAAATTAAATTTTTATTTTTGACTTGGTTTTCATTCTTACTTGATTTTTTTATCTTATTTGAAAGTCATAAGCTTTGAGAAGGATAAGTTCTGCAGTGCATGTTTGCTGGCTGATCTCTCTCTCTCTTTTCTTTTGTAACTTTATCTTTTGTTAATCAACTTTTATTATGATTCTTTTGTTCTTATATTTATTAAATAGTTTTTTTATGTTCTTTTACCTATATAATATATTTTAGGAATTTCAAAAATATCTATATTACCTAATAATGTGATGTGATTAAAACACTGTATAGGAAAAAGTGTGCTACAAGTTTGGAATGTTGTCAGGTTTAGCTTGGAAATTGTTCCAATTCTACATTTCTCCATCTTCCTCGGTTTTTCCCCTTTCTCGTTCCCAATTTATGTCTATGCAAATGCATCCCTGTATTTGAAGTGTAAATCTCTGTATTCTTTTCATGAAAGATATAGTAATTGATACGCAATTATTCTTCTGCAGCTAAGAGAAAAGATAGCTTCTGCTACATCAGCAATTAAATCTGTGTTTGGGCAAGAAAATACCCGACAGAATGCTGTAAGATTTATTTATACCTGGGATTACTGTTGTGTTCAGTTTCATCTTAATATGCTCACATTTGTTATACTTAATTGTGCAGGCTGACAAATTGGAGAAACTTAGGGAGAGAATGTTAAAAGTGCGCGAGCTTTTTCGTGACACAGATTCGACTGAATTTGTCATTGTTACAATCCCCACGGTATGATTTATAATTTTTTTTTCCACAATTGACCAACATGTGAATAACTGGTGTGTATAACGATATAATGATGAATTGACATATACTGTAGAGGGACCAAGCCTACCAAAAATGTTAAAGGACGACAGCTTTGAGCTATATTTACTATCTGGTGTGGTGGAGGGCTAGGAATGGGCTAGAAGTGTTTGGTAGCTAGTATTAAAAGGGAATGCTATATTTTTGGGAATGCCATATTTGTCAAATTAGAAGGAACGACCCTCTTCCTTCCAGATTATTGTCTTTCTGTGAAATTATTTCCTGTGCACATTGATTATTGCCTTCCCTTCCACCGTCTGTGTGTCCACTAACATTTTCCTATTTAAAGAATTGAAATTTTGAAGTGGAAGGAAGACTGGTGTGTTGGACAAAAGCTTTGGGGTTCATTCAAAAGAATAAGATCGAGGGGTATCAAAATTCTATTAGTAAAGGTCATAAATGTAATGATGATAAATTGTTGGGGTTTGGTTTACCTTTTGACTAGCAATAAAGAATAAGAAGAAAGATAAGTTGAAAAATGGAAGAATGAGTTGGGTATCTATACTGGATACCTTGATCTTCAATTTCCTGTGTGAAAAGGAAGTGGATCTATCTAATCTTATTGCAAGAACTACTTTCACTATAAGAATCAAATATTCAGTTATTAAATAGAAAATGAATCCACTATATCAGTTTGGCTTTTGTATTTTTTTTTCTCTTCTTTTATGGATGTTCATGTGGTGGAAAATGATTGTTGAAGTTTTAGAATGCCAATCTAGTTGGGATGCTAAAGCTTCATAGTGATGTCTAACATGATTTATTAAAAAATAATCAGTTTGCCTTTTGACAACAAAATATCGTTAATTAATTTGTGTAGCCACATTTACTTGGCAAAGGTTTTTGTGGATGTTGTAGTTTACTACCTGAATGTTAGATAGCTTTATTACACATTTCTTAATCGTTGATATTTGTGTCTTTACCCAAAGGTGATGGCAGTTAGCGAGTCATCTAGATTGAGTGCTTCCCTGAAGAAGGAAAATGTTCCTGTGAAGAGACTGGTTGTCAACCAAATTCTTCCACCATCTCCATCTGATTGCAAGTTTTGTGCTATGAAAAGAAAGGTACTTTTAGCCATTTTTTCTTTAGTTTTTGCATGGATTTCATCTGAGTGGTTAGCTACATTTTAATCTGTGTTACTTAAGGCGCTTGCTGTTATGTGGTGAGAGAAGTTAGACTAGATTCCTTAAAAACAGGGATCACCTGGGATAGTTCCATGGAAAAACGTGAGTATCATGGCTGAAACTTAAGGATCAAGGGAGAACATGTAGTAACCCTTGTAAGGATTCAGTTCCCTGTGAGGGAAGTGGGCAGAAAACAAAATGAGGTTATAATTACACGACATGCTGAAAGAACAAACTGCGAATACTAAATGCTCTAGGTTAGGTCCTATAAATCATCTTTTAGAGACTTCGACTAGAACATTTTCACATGCATTCTAGAGAAGGTAAAATTGTTCCTACACTATTAAAAGATTGGGAAGAGAGAAAACAAACAGAATGAGAAGATCTAGAAAGTGATGTTCCAGAAGGATAACGAGGGAAATTCTTTCATCCTGTAGCAAATAATAGAGATTATGAATGATTTGGGATAACAAAACTAAGAAGCTAAGTGGATGATGAAGCCTAACAAACTCAGGAAGAATAGTGGAGGTAGAATCAGGAATTGAAACAACGTACAGAAGACGCCCTGAAAGCACAAGAACTACTTAGACAGGAGAATTGGAAACTACAATAAGCTCTGAATGCACAAATCTGTACTCTTTGAAGGATGGAGATTGAACCCTTAGAAGAATAGCGAGACTTTCAACCCTTCTTGGTGGAAGTCATGAATGAAACAATACGTGCTGCCAAAAGTCGATCTATTCAGCAGTGCCCAAGATCCAAGTTGTCAATACCCAGGTGGGACAATGGGCAGAAAACAGAATAAAGTTATAAATACTCGATAGGCCAAGAGAACAAACAACGAATACTGAATTTTTTGACTGAGGTTCTACAAATCATCTTATTAGAGACTTTGGCTAGAACAAATTCATTGGACACAAATTTGCGACCATACTTGAGTATGAAACTAGACCTTAAAAGAGCAGGGGAGAAAAACTTGTGTCTTGAACTTGCTGTTTATTTTTATTTTGAGGGTGACAATTTTGTACCGTACCGTGAAAACTTTTCAGGATCAGATGCGTGCTCTTGATTTAATTCAGAATGATCCAGAACTTTCCAGCTTATTGATGATCCAAGCACCACTCGTTGATGTTGAGATAAGAGGTGTTCCGGCTCTCAAATTTCTCGGTGACATTATTTGGAAATGACTTACACACAGTACTAGGTTAAGTATGAATACTCTTTTTATTACTATTTAAGTTTTTAAGTCATTTTGCCTCAGCATTTTTAGAATCAAATCATATAATTTGTGATTATTCTTAACCGAAAATCATATGGTTTGTAATTATGCTGAAATTTGAATTTCTTCTTTACTTTAACATTGCTAGGCTAAATTTAGGAATTTGCTGAAGCTGGCCGTTGAACTATAGACACGTTACATGACATCAAGGCCATTTATGTAACGAAAGCTGCAAATCAGATGAGATTTTCTGGTCCTGGCACTTCTTATATAGGCTAGGCACTGGCTTCCAGTATTTACAAGCTACAGTTTCGAAACACGAAAGATTATTGGTTTTTCACGTTATAAATCTTGTATCTGGACTAATTCTTTTTAGCTTGCCCTCATTTGGGCCTTTTTGTTGGCAGCAATAATGATTTTTATGTTTTGAATTGTTGACAACGATATTCTTGATATACTCACGAAATTATATATAAGAAAAGTTCAAATGATCTCATTATTTTCAAATATGGGTGTGTTTATGATTCGGACTGTAAAATTCAACAATTAAAAGCAACGAAAATTAACATTACTATAATACAAAAAACACAGCCAGAAGAGGTGGACGTGCAACTATGACATGACTAATTGATCACATCTAACATGCATAGTTAGGCCAAAAACCAATATCATGCCTAAAAAAATTACCGGACATTATTGAAATCATGAGAATCCTAACGTAATCTCTGTTAACTCCAATTTGTACAACTCAGATTTGTCAGAGGTAAAATTCGATGGCCTGAAGTTTGGTTGACCTTACTTCTTTCGGAAGGTTACCATGCAGAAAAATGCTATAGCCCGGCCAATTACACCCATAAGAATGAGGATGGATATGCACAAACTCCAATCATGAAGATTGTAGCCACTTTTCAAAAGTGAACCACAACGAGTTATGAGCCACACCCCCTGATACCTGGAGAATGAAATTAACTGTATATTCAGTACGCGGATTCAAGTGCAAAAAATTTAGAGGATTCATCATTTGCATTAAGGATTGGACTGTGGACCAAATAAATATGCTACCAAATGGCCTCCTACGCTAAAAGCTATAGCTGTGAAGGACAAATAGTATTGAAATAGATGCTTCTGAATAACAAAATTATCAACGCTCCAAAAGAGTGAAAACCTTGTATCAAAGTCATCACTCGGGTGGGAAGAGGATCATGTATGAGTTTTAAACATGTACTAGGATAAGAAACTCAGATGGTTCAAGGTAGCTTAATTCTAATCAAGACCAACGCAGATCTCAAATAATCACGAAGCTAAAAGCCAGACTCCTAAATGCAGAAGGAACTTAAATAAATAGTCTGATAATCAGTGATTAAAAGGTTGTGCGCACTTGGAATCTAAAATGCATAACTTGCTATATGCATAACTTAGCACACATACCGTGTCCAAGTGCACACATATCTTGCTATATGCATTTACAAAACGATCTCCAATAAAGCCAAACATATCAAAGTAGTTTTTTCCTTCAAGAGGTTTAATAATTTAATATATCAATAAGTATCCTGGACTGTTTACCTTTCAGCATTTGAAACAACTAATGCTTGTAAAGCCCACTTAGAGTAGCATAAATTAGCTATATCCTTCAAAATTTTACTATCTTTTCGTTGTGTTGCAACGAGAGTCAAAACAACGGGAAGAAGTACTGACCACTGCAAAAGACAGAAATGTTTTAGAGAAATGGAAACATAATGACGAGTAATATTTAATTGGGATTAGTAAAAGTTTTATGGTCAGCTCTAATACTTACTAACTGGGCAGCACCAGGTTCAAAAAATATTGACAGTGCATATGCTATACCAGTAACACAGTACACAAGACAAAGCAGCACAATATAATTATCTGCAAAAGTTGATCTCGGATTGGTGAAGAAATAGAACATAGAAAGGTACACCACAGGTTTAATCACTGTGTTAAAATGATCTAGGGTGTCTTTAGAGAGAAAATAAGCCAAACTGCTCATGCCAGAATCACTCTCCCTCCAGTGGTGTAATTTTTCCGAGGAAAATGATCTCAAGGCCGCTATTTTGCACAGAAGAGCTGAAATTTACAACAATGGATAAGGATAAAGATGCTCACGTGAATGCTAGGGAGATTATTTGCAATGATATTTATATGACTTACATACAGCAATCACCGTATAGGTGTAACCAGCTGCACCAAACGTTTGCTCACTGCCTTTTGTAAGTGATCCTAAGCAGGCTCCAGCAAGTAACAAAATAAGATAATCTATGGCTTGCATCCTAGCTTCTCGTAAACGCTGCTTCCCAACCCTGAAATAACATTAGCATGGAGTAAGTACCATAAACAAACAAAAAAATGCGGATGAAAAATTATTAGAAGTTTATTAGCTGCAGTCAGTCCTGTAAAAAATAATAGCACCAAATGAAATAATTGTAGAGAAATAATTAAACAAATCAGTAAATATTAAGTGCGACGAATACCATTGATAAGTTCCACTTTGGTTTCCCTTTATTGTTATATAGTAGCATACAAGGATAGGAAGAAGTAGTAAGGGAATTGACCATCATATGATCATACAAAAAGGTTTTATTTCTATTTTTCCTTCTTCGTGCGTCCCTTATAAAACAGAATCTTGTACCATGATAAATTCAGAAAGAAATGTAACCATTGAATCTCCAGCGTTGACAAAATCCAGTTCATGGCACACTTTCAAAACACTTACACTTAAACTAGTAATCCTCAAGGTAAAAATTATCTGATTTAAGCAAGCCATCAGGAAAAAATATGACTTCCAAGTTGGTAACACATTAAGTCATTAGATGACTTACCGTATAAGAAAATACTTATATTGCTTGAAAACGCCAGGAGTTTTCCGGTCAGATAAATCCTTGGATTTAAAAAAATTGTGTCTTATCTTCTCCCCCCTCAGTTCCACATTGTTTCTCATGTCTTGCCATAATTCTCCAGCAAAGGTTTTGTCTGCATGACCGGATCCATGGGGATCAATTTCATTAGCTGAATTTACACTGTGTGACATATCATATTGAACCGCATTCTGCCTCATGTCAAGAGGTATTGGATATCCGTTATGAAGCATCCATCTAACTGGCAGGTCCTTGTAACTAAGTCCTGAGCTTCCACCAGGTGTTGTCAGGCCCTCCAAAATGTCAATGAAGTAATCTGGAGGATTAATCCGCTCTGGAATGTTGATCCCCAGGCCCAAAAAGTATTCTTCAACTTTCTTTGCAGATCCGTGATAGACAGTAAGACCACCTTTTCCCAGAAGTATCAGGTCATCAAACATCTTGTACAAAGCATAGCTGAAACAGAAGGTTACAGCCGTTAAAAATGAAAGCGACACTAGTGTTATTCAAGTTATGATAATAAATCTGTCTCAATTCAAAGAAAAAATGTACATAAGACGTTACAATATAAAACATCCAAGCTTTTCTACAGAAGTAGTCATAAAATATGCACATCACAATAAATGAGATAAAATTCTTGTACAGTAAATGGTACTGGCAGCTGAAAAAGAAAGAGCACCGATGCAAGCAATATCCCAATGACGCAGATATAGGGTTAAAAATTTACCTGGGTTGGTGAACCACCATGCAAATGTTCACTCCCTCAAGAGCTTCGCGTCTTAGTGCTCTTAGAAGCAGCTGAGAAGATGCACTGTCTAAGCCAGATGTGGGTTCATCCAAGATCAATAGTGAAGGTTCCATAACCATTTCCAATCCAACGTTTACACGCTTCCTTTGGCCTCCAGAGATCCCTCGCTTTTCCACAGTTCCAACCAAGGAATTACGCACTGATTGAAGCCCCAAGAATTCAATAACTCTTTCGACAACCAGAACTTTTTCTGGTTTTGACAAGTCAACAGATAGCCTTTCACAAAAGTTCAATTAAATTAGGCATAAGTATAAGAAGACAAGCAAGGCTAAGACGAGAGAAATCTGATATCATTTTTAGAATATATAGCTATTATAATGTCAAACAATGTAATGTACCTGCACTGTGCACTGAACCAGAGATTCTCTTCCACTGTTAGGTTTCCATGAACTATATCATCTTGTGGCACAAAGCCAGTAATTTTCTTAAAGGAATGGATTGATTCATTCCTTCCATTTATAAGAATTGAACCAGTGACCGAGCATCCTAATGCCTTTCCAGCTAGAGCTGAAAGAAATGTTGTCTTGCCGGCCCCTGATGGACCCATGACAGCTGTGATGCGGCCAGGTTTAATTTTCCCGGTAACATATCTCAATATATGCTTGTTTTGAGCTTTCAATGTAAGAGTCAGATCCTTGAAAGAAATTTCAATTAAAGGCCTTTTCCTTCTTTCAGTGTTTGTAGCCATTTTAATTACCCCCGAGAAGGTAAGCTTCTTGTTTTCTTTTTGCTGAGCTTTCTCTTTTTCAAGCTGAGAATATGCATACTTAAAAATTTGGCTATGAGTATGTGGTTGTTTTCCCTTTGACACATTTGCTGTGACACTTTTACCTCTAGTTTCTATTTCTGTATCAGGATCATTTTCAATATCATCAATATCAGGATCATTTTCAATTTCGTGTATCATCTGCATCAGACCACTGGGTTCTTTTCCCTTTTTATTTGTTGCCACAGATGAACTTGCAACCATGCTTGAAGTTTTAGGTCGTGGATGTGATAACAATTCAACGTCTGCTTCAGAATTTGCTTGTTTCAGAATTTTAAATTTTTCCAGATTTGCTGCATCCTTCTTGAAGGTGCGAGATAGTTGAGCTTGCAGCCCCATTGCACCCTTCATTGTTGCATCTTTTGCAAATTGCCATCTTTGGCGCGCATTTGCAGTCTT